TAATTATTTTTAAAAATAAAAAATGATATGTACTTTTTTAATAAAAAAATTAATTAAAAATTAAAAGTTTATATTCTTAAATAAAATACCACGTGAAAGAACCTCGTCGGAAGTTCTAAGTAGCGAGGCCTAAGTCCATTTCCTTTTTTAAACTTGAGTAAGGTTTTATTTATTAACAGACAAGCCAGGAGGAGCCACATGAGAAATGTCTTATCCCCTAAATCCAAGTATTTACAACTGTATAAATCAGCACATAAGCACAAACAGAGATTTGAAAAAAAAAAAGAAAAAAGAAAAAAAAAAAGAAGAAAAAAAACGAAGAGAGACTACAATTCAACAATATTTTGACAAAAATAAAGTTCATGACCGCTTCAATTGGCAAACAAAAATAATTCCAAACCCGCCTGAATATTTTGGTGAAAACCACCAGCAAACACAGATGAAGAAGAGAATGGGACTTTGTTTTTTTTTTTTTGGTACATAAAAAGCCATGAAAGGTGGTGGAGATTGGAAGAGTGTGAGACCTTGAGGAGAAGTGTGACCCATAACCGCCATATAGTCAGCTGCCCCGTTACCCTCTCGAAGGGTGTGCTGCACCTTGCATGCAACAAAAGAGTCCAGATAATGGAAAATGTCAGAGAGAAGAACTGCGGCTGAACCCTCCCCAGCATTCCTTGCCTGAATCATTTGGACAGCCATGAGGGAATCCATTTCCATTTAATATGGAAATTTTCGACGTGGAGATTTTCTTCTGCGGTACAAACACATTATTAAATTCAATGGTCTCATCACAATCGGAAGGATAATATTAAATCATCAAATCAACAATCAACTACATCTATTAAATGGGCTTTCAATGACAGTTTTAATGGGCTAAGAAGGCCCAATACCGCAACAGTTCAAGTAGTTTTGATGGTATTCATTGTGATTCTGGGTTGGGGCATTATGTTGAGGAGTTCTCGTTTTGAGCCGAACTGACTTTCAAGGGAGAATGATAGCCCTGGAGTTATGTATATAGGGCTACTCCCCTTATTTTGAGGTTTTAGTCTAGGTTGATTTTATATATATATATATATATATGTATATATTTTATGATAAATTATATAAAAAATAATAATTTTTTTCTTTTAAATTTGAGTAAAATTCTATTTTAGTACCAGGTTTTTAATGATGTGCCTTTATTCTTTTCAGGTTGTTAGTTTCTGTTATTGTATGACATGTTGGTTGTTCATGGACTGTATGG